TGTGTGTGTGTATATATATAAAATATGTATATATATAATGGAATACTATTCGGCCATAAAAAAGAATGAAATTCTGTCATTTGAGACAACATGGATGAACCTGGAGGATATTATATTAAGTGAAATAAGCCAGGCACAGAAAGGCAAATACCACGTGATCTTACTCACCTGTAGAGTTTAAAACAGTTTATCTCATCGAGGTAGAGAGTAGAATGGTGGTTACCAGAGACTGGGATGGTTAGGGGGTAGGAGGAGATGGGGAGAGGTTGGTCAAGGTATACAGAATTACAGTTAGATAGCAGGAATAAGCTCAAAAGATCCACCATACAGCCTGGTGACTATAGTTAATGACAATATATTGTATTCTTGAAAAAGGCAATGATATATTAATATGTTGTGCTCTCACTGCAAAAATGATAACTAGGTGAGATAATGTATTTGTTAATTAGCTAGATTTAACTATTATACAATGTATATATACTTCAAAACATTTTGTTCATGATAAATACATATAATTTTATGTTAATTTTAAAAATTTTGCTAGTCTGAAAAGTAAAAAGAAAAATGTTAAGTTGTAATTACTATGTGTATTTTACTACAATAAAAAAAACTGAGGCTGGGCATGGTGGCTGACACCTGTAGTCCCAGCTACTGAGGCAGGAGAATTGCCTGAGCCCAGGAGTTTGAGGCTATGACAGTGCCACTGCACTTCCGCCTGGGCGATAGTGTGAGATCCTGTCTTAAAAAAAAAAACAAAAAACAAAAACAAACAAGCAACCAAAAATGTGGTATAATAAACTATTGCCAAAATTTGGGAGGAAATTTCCAAGGCAGAAGGAACTAGATTAAAACGGGATACTCATATTATGCCAACCTAAAAATAAATGAAAAGACCTATTATTCCCCTGCACTCTCTGTTACCTGATTCACAAAGTCTAGGACTGTATCAGTCTACCAAACCGAACAGTAGGCAATTGTCCTGGAATGAGAGGGCGCTTTCCCCAACAATTAGAGTGCTGTTGCTTCTCCACACATCTCTACCTCCAACCTTCCTCAGACCAAGACCTCTTTTTTCTAAATCCAAGGAGATGAACTCCTGGAGGGGTAGGAATGGGAGGGGGCCCAGACAGAAACTCTAAAATGGACAGAGAATTAGGGGGCTGCAGCAGTTTATTATATTCTAGAAGTAGTAACTCCTTACAATTAAAGCACGATAAATAAGAAGATGGAGAGACAAGGATGACACAGGAAGAACCTGAATAACACATTCACTGGGTCTATACTTTTTCATCTAGTCTGCCATGACTGTTCACAATCAGTGTGGCAGGCAGTGGGGCTAGAAAGGATCCTAGTTCAGTCCTGTAGAACAAAATATGCCAGACACTGGAATCTAGGTGGAGAGCTGTTATATCAACTTCCTATCCAGCTACAGATATAAAACAGTCAGTAAACAAAACAGAGAACATGGCAATCAACCCTCCGACCACCACGCTGTGAGCAAATCCCTAATATGGAGAGCACACTTATATTTGGAGTCAGGAAACTTAAATCCACAAAATGAGAAGAAAAGACTTTTGTAAGAATAAGATGTAGAAAGGGAAATCTTTCTCCTTTTAGCCTTAGAGTTAAGGCTGCCCTGTATCTGCCCTAAAAAGGCTTAAAAGCAAGTCTCAAAAGAATATGTAGTTGACTCCTACACTGAGATTTCTTCCCTTACAACAGAGTTCAGTTGGTAAGGCATATCAACAGACATTTGGAAGTGGATCACGAGTCTTTCTCTGTGACTAAAGACATGGTAACTAATCACAATATGTGAGCTAGTATTGGATCCTGTACTGGAGGAGAAGGAATATTATAAAAGAGGTTATTTGATACAAGTGGAATATGATAGATTCTATAAAAGTAGCATATCAATGTTGGATTTCTCGAAGTTGATAACTATTCTGTGGTTACATAAGACAATGTTCTTGTCCTTTGGAAATATAGACTAAAGTGTTCAAGGATAAAAGCATATGATTCAAATAATTTAAATTAATTAGGAAAAAATTCTGTATCTGTGTGTGTGTATAGGGGTAGAGAGAGAGAGATCAACGTTAAAACAAATGAGGCAAAATTAACAATCAGCAAATATGAATAAAGGGTATAAGATAGTTTTTGTACTATTCTTGCAACTTTTATATAAATTTGAAATTATTTCTAAATAAAAAGGTTTTTAAAAAGACCCTCATTTTGACAGGTTGGGTATTTGGGAGTAAACAATTATACACAGGTTTTATATAGCCAATTGGACTAAAAGCTATAGAAGACAACTATATTTCACTAATAAGTAGGAGCAAAACGATGGGTACATATGGGCACAAAGAGATATAAGGTCATTGGAAACCAAGAATTGAGAATTCACTTGTACTTATAATTGAATAACAATGGATTAGACATTATTCACATTTTTAATTTTGGGTATGTTTGAGCACAGCTTTTAGATAAGGTATGATGTATCTGGAGCCAAGATTTTGGCATAATCACAGTAAAAAAGATGTATTCTTTCCTTGTTAACATAATTTTTTTATCTTCATATAAGCCCCCATTGCTAGGACTAATTTATTGCGCCTCATCTGCAGAACATAAGTAAAGGTATAAATCTCAGGAGAAACAAGTAAATCTCTATTTAGAACAAAATAAAAATCTTTTGAAAGCACATAATTCTTTCAGTAATACTTTTAACTCCTGTTATTAAGAGTTAATTAATCATTTTTGTACAGGGGGAAATTGTTGCTGATTTCTAAAAATGCTTATCAAGCCCTGGCACACAAAAATAATGGCAGCAAATCCACAACACTCTTCTGAATGTTCTTTTGATCTTTTAAATGGTAGGGCTAAATATCTAAACACGGGACTGGAAAGCTAAACACGGGACTGGAAAGCTAGGCTGCGATTTCTATTCTAATTTTATCACTAATATGCTATCACAACTTAAAACAGTGACAACAGTTTGACATTATTGTTTCTTCAATTGAGGGGTGACTGACACTATGTAACAGACATTGGAAGTAAAGATAAGCATTCTACATGAATAAACAGATAGCAGTTCTAAACACATTCCTCCAGAAATTCTTCACTCTTTGAATGGTCTCTCAAAAGATCAATTTTAAGTTTCTAAATAAGTAGAAAATCTCACATTAGCTTGATACTGTTCCAGAATCACATGGCCTGGAAATTCTGGCTCAGGCACAGACGCAAATTTCTTGATAATGTCTTCAAGTGCCTGGAGACCAGCCATCCGCAGCTGGTTACTATGATCAGTCGCAGCCATGAATGCCATGCGAATCAGGTCAGAGAGATGAAGTACCAAGAGGTCATCTAAAAATAAAAAATAGAAAGCAAAAAGGAAAACTTTTCCAAAAATCAGTATAACATAAAAATATGAAATAAGTTTCTGATAAAAACACTTATGATCCACACATTTCTTGATATTTAAAAACAATAAAGATACTACATTCTTTCAAGAAAACTTCCATATCAATCTTTCAAGAACAGTGATAAACCTTTACACAATATGGTAACATAGGTGTGTAGGATGTACAAAGACATTGAAACAAAACACTTGATTAACATAACTTTCCCCAAACAAGTTTGTAATTCTTTAAGAACAGCAGTTAGCAGACTTTTTCTGTAAAAGATGAGATAGCGAATATTTTCATATCATCTCTATTACAACTACTCAACTCTGCTGTTATGGTGCAAAAGCAGCCACAGACAAAATATATAGAAAGGAATGTCCTGTGCTCCATTAAAACTTTATTTATAAAAACAAGGTATGGGGCCAGGTGCAGTGGCTCATGCCTGTAATCCCAGTGCTTTGGGAGACTAGGTGGGAGGATCACTTGAGGCCAGGAGTTCAAGACTAGCCTGGGCAACACAGTAAGATCCTCTCTCTACAAAAAATTTTAACAATATTAACCAGGTGTGGTGGCACACGCCTATAGTCTTAGCTACTTGGGAGGCTGAAGTGGAAGGATCACTTGGGCCCAGGAGTTTGTGGTTGTAGTGAGCTGCGATCAGGACACTGTACTCCAGCCTGGGCCACCATACTCCAGCATGGGCGACAGCAAGACTCTGCCTCAAAAACAAACAGCCTAGCACTCTGGGGAGCTGAGGAAGGAGGATTGCTTGAGGCCAGGAGTTTGAGACAAGCCTGAACCACATGGCAAGACCCTGTCTCCACAAAAAATAGAAAAATTAGCTGGGCATGGTGGTGCGGGCCTGTAGTCCCAGCTACTTGGGAGTCTGAGGCAGGAGGATGGCTTGAGCCCCAGAGTTTGAGGTTGCAGTGAGCTATGATGACGCCACTATATTCTAACCTGGGCGACAGAGTGAGGCCTTGTCTCAAAAAAATAAACAGACAACGAGAACAACAAAAAACCAGGGCATGAGCTGGATTTGGACTGCAGGCTATTGTCTGCTAATTCTCTACTTTAGAAAAACTTATATTTGGAGTCAGGAAACTTAAATCCACAAAATGAGAAGAAAAGACTTTTGTAAGAATAAGATGTAGAAAGGGAAATCTTTCTCCTTTTAGCCTTAGAGTTAAGGCTGCCCTGTATCTGCCCTAAAAAGGCTTAAAAGCAAGTCTCAAAAGAATTCAAATGATACCAAATAATTTAATTACATCCCAGAATTAAGTCCAACACTAAAGGATTACAGCAAAATTCAGCACTATCATGACAAAATTTACAATGTCTGTCACCTAATAAAAAAATGATCAAGGATGCAAAGAAGTAGGAAAATATGTCTCACAACAAAAAGGGAGAGAGAAAAAAATCAATTAATAGAAATAGGTCAAGAAATAAAAGAGATAATAGAATTAGCAGACAGGGAACTTAGAACAGCTATTATAAATATGTTTCCTATGTTCATGAAGGAAAAGAAAAGAATGAACATAATGAAGGGAGAAATGAAAGGTAGAAAAACCACAGAGAGGACTTTAGAGATATGAACTTAAAAGACAGAGCACCAGGAATTATCTAAAGAATTTATTAAACCCAAGAATTATAAAGTTCTTCAGGAAGCTTCAAAACTCTCAAAATCTTTTTGAGGCAGTGGCAATTCTATGGCTAAGCCTGATCCCCAAACAACTCCTATTTAAATAGGTTTGTGTTGTTACTGTCATTGTCAAAGTTACAAGATGTGTATTTTCAAACTTTTTTATGTACCCATTTAAAATACCAGTTTTAGAATCTTAAGTTTAAAAAGAATACCTGTTGCTTTGGGGGTAGGATGCAAGGGGAGAGGGAAAACATTTGGCTAGAAGCTCCCAATGCCTCCTCATCTAAGGGAGGCAAAAATATACCACCAATAAAAATGAGGTTTTAAAAATTAGTATTTTAAAACAAGATATCTGCATTCTCACACTTACTGTAGCACTGTTAACAATAAC